AGCGTGTGCCGGCAAGGGATGCTCGGAGGTGGGATGCACTGGTCCAAGGAATGGATGGTGCAGTGCTGATTGGTCAGTCTTCACTCCTGACACCACACCAGAAGTTAGATCCACAAATCCACCGAAGGATTTCTGCACCGTTTTGGAGTTTTGGTTTCTTTTTATTGCAAGTCAGAACAACCTTAAATCACCAAACCATGTCTGGATATGACCACGCAGGAAGCCGGTTTCCTTTCCCCTGTTCTTTGTAGGCTTTAAAACACATATCTGTGCTGAAGTTTGGTTCTTCTCTTTAATCCTGGGTCTGTGAAGGAGGCTTTAACCTGAGCTCACGCCGTTGGAATTCCCTGCTGCGCCAGGGAGAGGCTCCTTGCCTTCAATCGCTTCCAGATGCCATTCCCGTTCCGGCTCTTCCCCTTGCAAAATGTCTCCCCCAGCCCGCTGAAGTTTTCCCGGCTGGATTTGACATCCCCATATCCGGCCAGGCTGAGTAAGCTGAGCCTTAATTTTTTAACCAGAGCCTGGTGCCAGTGGCGGGAGGTTGGAACTCACCCGCGGTGTTGCACAAGCTGGAGCCCCGGGGTGGATCCTCCGCCGGGGTTTGAGCTGCTTGCGACATCGGGTGGTTTTTAAATTTCTTTTAAAATGGAGGTAAATGAGCTGGGATGGAGTTTGGGGTTTGGGATCCCTTGCTGCACCCTCTGCCCTCATTGCCAATGGGACAGATCTTCCCTCAGCCCGAAAATGGCAGGAAACTGAGGCAAGAGAGTGCTGAGCAAGAGCTGAGGAGTCTTAAACGCTGCTCTGGGGCTTTGCTGATGCTGTGTGCACCCAGCCAGCCCAGCATTCCCACCCTGGGTCATAAAACACCCCTGGATGGGAATCGAACCCCCAGCACAGCAGCTCTGTGGCTGTTGGGCTCCTCTGACCCCCCTGGCTTGTGGTCTGTGGATGAGATTCTGTGGCATGAGGATGGATCAGACCTGTCTGTGTTGGGAATAGAGGAGAGCACTGAAGCATTGAGGGGAAAAATGAGGTGGAAAGTGAGAAGTGAGGGAGAAAAATGCAGAGAGGGGGGATGCAAGTGAACTTTGGGGATGCAGGACTGAACAGGCTTAGGGTGTGGGAAGTGGGATAGTGTCAGAAATGAAGGGCAGTGAGGGACTTTAGGGGTTAAATGTGGTGCTGCCTTCGAACAAGGCATCAGGAGCAATGCCAAGGGCTGGGAATTCCTCGGACCCATCCCTGTGCGATCACCAGTGCTGCTTCCAAAAAAATAGATGGGAAAAAAAAAAGAATCACAAAGAAATGTCTGTTTGGGCATATTCGGGCTCAACAGGTTTTGCTCCCAGGCGGGGTCTGGTATTTGGGGTGGGGGAACCGAGGGCGGCCAAGAGCCTGGCTGTTCAGAGCAGGCTCTTTATGCAACAAAAAGATGTGATTTGTCCTCAGAAATCTTACTCCGGGCTCCTTTCCACTGCCTTTTTTCTCGTGGGGTGACGGCAGCCCTCGAGGGCTTGGGTGGTGCAGGCAGTGTGGGAAGGGATGGGCAGCTCCTGATGAAGGGCTGGGGGAGCTGGGGGGGATTTTCTTAAAATATGGATAAACACAAGGTTTTGGAGCCCTGACACCTCAGCACCTGCCCCAGGACCAGATCCCACTGCCAAAGCCCTGCATCCCCCACACATTCGGCTTCTTCAGCGTCCTGGTGGTCCATTGGCATCTGCCCTGGAGCTGGGGCTTCCCCGGCCCCTTTGGTGCCTAATTAACAACGTTGCTGCATAATCCCCCCTGCATTTACAAGTTAAATCGACAGATTATCTGTATTATGCAAACGCAGCTTTAAATCTTAATTATTTATTTGCATGGGGTGTCTGGAAATCAGCAGCACTAAGCGTGGGGATGCTGTTCTCTTGGAAGTGCAGACTTGTGCTAGGAAATGAACCCAAAGTAGGCTTTTTTTGGTGTGGTGGGTGATGCTCAACACCCCAGCTTGGGAATATGTCTATTTTTTCCTTTAATTTTTTTTGGGGTGGGGGGTGGTTATTGTGGGAGGCTCATCCTTAAATAGCAGTGGTTTATTTTTAGGTCGGTCGCTGCTTTGGATAATCCGGCTTGGCTGGGCAGCTTTGCTTTTCTTCCCATTCTCAGGGATTTGATAGAAATAGGTTTATTAAATTATTTTATTTTTAATAAAATGGTTTAATAAATTTAATTAATTATTAATAGAATTAATGAAACACAGGGTTGAAGTATGGGGGTTCTGCTGGTGGTTGCCCTTTTCTGCTGTCCTGGACAGGGAGCATCCCCTGGGATGACCATTAGTGAAACCTCTTCCCAAAGTGTAATTCCCACACTGGAATTACAACTTAGGCTCGGCCAAAGGATGGTTGGGAAGCAGCTGGATTATCTCCCATTAAATACTTGCTGGATGAATACACTGCTGGTCCCGGGGCCACAGCGACTGTGGTGACGTGAGGGATGTGCTGGGCTTGGAAACACCTTGCTCCTGCCAGCTGGAGACGTTTTCTCTGGAGGAGGATGAGCTCACCTGGATTTTATTCCCCTCCCAGCCTGGCTTTTGCTGTCTCCCCCCTCGGGAGGTAATTTTAACCGAGGGAGGCTGGCGCCGGCGATGGAGCACCGAGGGACAGACGGACGGACAGCTGCCTCCCTGCAGGTCTGAGGGAGACTCTTCTCCATCTCCCCCTCCCCTATTTTAACAGCCCTGGGGAGATCTGGTTTTTGATGGGGAGGATGATGACAGGAGGAATTTGGAGGCTCATCCCTGCCCTGTGTGTCCCCTCCTGCCTCTGTAATATCTGTTCCTGCCGGGATGCTCCTGCACTGGGGCTGAGCCCCTCAAAGGGCCACTTCTGGCTGGCTTTAGTCTTTAGCACAGGAAGGGATGTGCCCACTGGATTTTTGTTTTCTTTTGCTCAAAGCCATGAACATCCCAGAGTGAGATGTTGGGGAGTAGGCAGAAAGTGCCTTTTCCCCCTCAAATTTGGATATTATTATTTAAATTATTAAACTGAGAGGCAGGAGAGAAAACTGAGGCCAGCAACAGAGCTGGAGAAGGAAAAGAGCAAAATCCAGCTTGTTTGGGACTTCTTGAGGGGTCTGGGATTTGCAATGTTCATTTCCTGCTGGGATCAGCTGCCGGATGGGTTGAGCTGCCTGTGGCTCCTGACTTGGTGGACACTGGAACCGTGATGGGACTTTTCTGGACCTTGGGCTGGGAACAACCCATGAGCATGGGCTCATGGCAGGGAAACCACTCGAGTGGCTGGAAAACAACCCTGGGAAGAGCGGCAGCAATCCAGCTCCTGGCTCCTCCAGTTGATCTGGAAAGACCAGCATAGGGCAAGACCTCGGATCCACAGGATCCTGCCTGGCTGATGTGCTTTACAATATCACAGTCTGCTGCTCACCCAGGGCTGCAGGATCCTCCTGGAACCCCCAGGCAGCTCTGAACATCCTCATCCTCATTTTCATGGCAGGGGCTGATGCTGTGCCATGAAGTGCTTTAGCAGGAGCTCCCCAGGGAGAGTTTAACCTTATTAGTGGATCCTATAATTCACAGCTCTGAATGAAAAGGTTCTGTGTCAGAGGCAGCAATGTTGGATGCTCTGGTAGATTCAGGGGTTCTGGGAAGACCCTGGTGCCAAAGGTGAATTTTATGGCCTCAAGTGCATTTGGTTTGGCTGCTCATTGCCCTGAGCCCTCAGGATTAATTGCCCCCCAAGGCAAACAGCAATGGAAGGAGGAAGAAAAGGTTCTTTGGGTGGAGAGGGAAGGTGACACTGGGATGGAGCCATCCCTGTCATCCTGGGGCATGTGAAGAAAGCCTGACCCGTGACGAGAAGAATCCGTGAGAAACTTTCTCAGGCTCCTGGGTGGTTTCCATCCCCACCCCTTGGACAAGATGTACCTCTCTTTGTCAAATTAATGGGATATTAAGAGAGGAGCATGATAACGTCAGGCAGCTGTGGGGAAGGCTTGCACCTCTCTCAGCTCTGCTTTTTCTAGCTGGAGGAGATGGAGGGAGGTGAGGAAACCTCTGGCCCTTCAGAGCTTTCCCTTGGAAGTGCCTTCTCTGCCAGGGCTTAATGAGCAGCTGACAGAGAGAAGCTTGTGTTCCTCCCCTGCATCACTGTTTCTTGCACTGAAACGAGCTGACATTCCCTCTCCTGTGTTTTTCTGGGGGGAGCCATGGCTCCCACCACACCCCATCCATCCCAGGGGCACAGGCAGAAGAGCAAAGCTGCTGCCCTGGGGTAACTGGGACAGCAGTGGGCTCGCTCCACTGGCTGCCTCATTTCCCCATACCTTGGGATGCAGAGCTTTCTCTGAGGGGCAGCATGGCAGCAGGGTTTCTGTGCATGGCGGGGTTTCTCAGCAGGGCTTTTCCTGCCCCAAATCATAAGGATATTACAGTGCTGGGCTAGGATGTGCAGTTTGGAAAGTTTTGGGGGAAGAGATGCAGGAGTACGGAGCATTCTCTGTGCAGGAGGGCAGGAAAGCTGCATTCTCATTTCCCTGGGCAAGGGCACCGCTCCATCTCGTGGGGTCTTCCTAAAAGCCCGAGTGAGTCACGGAAGGGGATTTCGGTGTGAAAGGCCAAGGGGTGTTGGGCAAAGCTGCGGCGAGGTCTGCGCTGCGATCGGCCCCACCTCCTGCTTAAAGAGCGGCGGGACCCGGCCCTGGGTGCCGCTGCCGGCCGAGGTGGGTGGGAGGTGGCAGGTGGGAGGTGGGAGGCTTTCCGGAGGTGGCAGGGGGGAGGTGGGAGGCTTTCCGGAGGTGGCAGCCTTTCCGGAGAGCTCCCACCTCGGTGCGCCCTGTGCCGGCTCGCCGGGGCCCCGCTCCCCTGCCCGGGGCCGGCCCCGCCCGGCGCTCCGGGCCGCCCTGCCCGGGGATGCGCAGCGATCCGTGCATCCTCCGGAGCGCCCGCAGCCCTGAGGATGCTCTCCCTTCTCCTTTCCTAGGGGAAGAGAGGACGGCCGCGTAGATCCCGCCGAGCTCCCGCCTGCTCCGCCTGGACCAAGAGGACGGGCCGTAAGTAGCCGTGACTCGCTGCCAGCTAATCCCCGCCCTGCTGGGACTGGTTTCAGCCTCTCCCGCCGCTGGGGATGCAGAAAAAGGTCTCCCTGCCATGGGAATCCTCCTCCCTGCGTGGGTTAACGGAGCACTGAGGTGTTGCTGGGGGTGCAAAGTGATGGACCGGGTTCTTGCTGGGAATCTCCCTCTGTGCATGAGAGAAAAGAGCAGAGAAGAACCCAGACGATTTAGGGCTGGCCAAATCAGGCTGCAGGGTTGCTCTCGGGGCTCTGCTCCTCTGAATCTGGTACAAAACAGGAAACAGAGGAGAAACCACAGGGCCACGGTTGCAAGTGAGCTTTGCAAGGGGAGTGGTAATGTCAGGCAGCTTCTGAGCCCCAAAAGGGAACCCCCAGAGTCAAAATCCATTGGGAGCAGGAGCTCCCTGCAGGGTAACTCAGCCCTGGACCCTGGACCTTGATATCCCTTAATTTCTCCCCCCTCCCCCTCCTTTTCCCAGAAGAGCTGGGGCATTGCTTGAGTTTGGGTTGGGGATGGGCTGGAGCATCTCCATGGTTTAGTTTTTACCTTCCAGAACTGTAAGGGAGTGGTGCTCCCAGTGGGTGTTCTGCCTGCTGCTCCCAGGAGAGCAGGGAGAGGCTGCCAGCACCCTGCCTGCACCCTGCCTGCACCCCCAGCTCACTGCCTCCCCCTTTCTGCTGCTTTCTGGGGGGATTTAGCCCAGAACATGGGCTCAAAGCTGTGTTGCCAAAGCCACTTTTGCTGTTGCTGCTGCATCCCTGGGTGATCCCTGAGGATGGAGATACCGGAGAGTAAACACGGCACTGAGGTGAGCGTGGCAGCAAAGGGGGGCTGGACGGGGCAGGTAGGAGAAGGGTGTGCCTGGATCGATGTCAGGGGATCAGGGATGAAATCCCACAGGATTATCACTGCCCTCATCTCCATAGCAGGGGCTTGGCACCCCATGGGTGCTCTGCTCTCTTCAGCAGCTCGGTCATAACCTCCAGGATGTAGCGAGCTGCATACAGCAAGAAAAGGTCTTTATTTTAGTGTCTTAAATAGCAAAAGAGTGATTAAACCTATATAATAAAAATAATAATATGTTATCTCTAACATTATAGCTCAAGTGTAGCCCTGTAGCTCTGTGATGGCCCAGGGTTACCCCAGAGCAGTGAGATAAACAGGTATACCCACATAGCTGGTGGTTTGGGGCTGTAGGAAGGGATTTGTGTCCCATACCTTTGTTTTTTCTGCTGTGAGGATTGAAAAAAACATAGGGGGAGAGGAGAGGATAAACCCAGGTCTGGTCTGAGTCGCTCTGGAGTACATTAAAACCAACAGTGCCGTGGGAAGGCAGAAGCAGCTTGGATTTATCCTGAGGACCTGCCACTGTGAAAATACTTGTTGGACCTGAGCTTATGTGCTGTTGCCACCTTGAAAATTGCAGCCTGGTCATGGGTAAATGTTTTGTTAAGACTCACATGCCAAGGAGGGCTTGTTTCCCCTATTGTAAATCTTTCGCTGGGTTATTGTGTGCCTGGGATACCATGGTAAAGGAAACAGAGCTGCCTCTCTGAGTAAGAGGCAATTAAGATTCCTTTAAAGATTCCTTTAAAGTGATTCGCAGGGCTCTTAAAATAGGATAAATGTGGGTATCAGTGCACAGGCCAGGCTGGCTCCACACCCTCTGTGGGGTTGTGCCCAATGTCCAGTGGAGCTGATTTTTGCAGTACTGTGCCCTCATGACCCTCTTCATCCCCCCAGCTGTGGCACTGCAGCTCTGGCTCTTGACATTGCTCTGCTCTGTGGTTTTTGGCATCCCAGGATCCCTGGTCCCCCCTTGGCATCCCTCTTTCCCTGCCATGCACCATCTCTTGGAGGGGGCTCAGATCTGATCCCTGCTGCCTTTTGCCCTTGCAGTGGTGGTTGTTGCAATCCCACAAGGATTTTCTCCCCGTCTTGGAAAAAACCTCCCCGGGCACCCGGAGCTCACAGCGGCCGGGGCGAGGAAGGTTTGGGATGCCAGGCTGGGGATTTGGGTGTCTTTGATGCTGTGCCAAGCCCAGGCAGTGCCTTTCCCTGGGTGCTCTCCCTGCAGGATGGCCCCCGGCCGCCTCCCAGGTTGCGCTCAGGCTGCGGCAGGCGCGGGCTGTGCCGGGGCAGGGCGCGGCGTGGGGCGATCCCGGCCCTACCGCGCACAGAACACCCGCGGGACGGGGGCTTGGAACGTCCCGGGGCTTCAGCTGCTTCTGTGGGGGTCATTGCTGTCCTCCAGGGAGCACAGGGTCTGCCCTGCTGGTTCCCAAAAGCTCTGTGTGCCTGGAGAGCTCGGGAGAGATGGTGTGGCTGGGCTGAGGGGGTCTGGGCTGGCCTGGCTGGCTGTCTGTCTCCCTTTGGTTCCCACTGCTGAGAGTGAATCTTTAGGGACTGCCAGTGCATCCCTTCCTCGGGTGCTATCCAACTCTCCTCCAGTTAAAAATAAAGGCATGTTTTTTTGGGATAAACTGTTGGAGATGCCTATTTTTCAGTGAGCATTCTTCTCACCCAGGGAAGCTGGACCAGGCAGTGGGTGGCTCCGTGTCCCATGGGCATGTGGGATGGGACAGTGGGAGCACAGGAGAGGTGTCCTTGCCTCGTGTCATGCTTTCCCAATCCGCAGGTTACCATGGGAACATAAAAGTACCAAGCCTGCTGGTCCATGATGCTTTGCCAGGATGGCCTGGGATCACTATTATGCTGGGGGAATTTATAACCACTCCCCACCTCCATGCTTGTTCTGTGCCTTTAAATTCCTTTTCCCCCCCCCCCCTTTTTTTTTTTTTGGCTGGGAGCAGCTTGTCATGTACTTTCTTCCACTTTGTGGATTGACATGACTTAAATCTGGAAATGCTGGAGCCATTGAGGCCATGGGAGGGAGATGGGAATGGGTGGATGGAGATACAGGGATGAACCTCTCTGCGTTTCCCCCCTGGCAGGAGGGTCGGTCTGTATGGGTGTTGCTGGCATCTCCCAGGGGACATGGGAAACTGGGGGGCAAAATGCTGCTCCAGGTCAGAGGCAGACAGGGAAACTCCATGAGGCTTGGCCATGAGCTGCCTCTGCAGCATCCTGGGATGGGGCTTTCCCAGAACACAGGGTGGGGAAGGGAGTGGGAGATGGGGAATGGGCCACGGGGCTTTTGGATCCTTTGTGCAGCAATAATTGCAGCCTGCGGTGCTGTGGGGGTGCATCCTCCAACATCAAAGAAGGGCTTTTCCAGTCACTTCTTCCAGGTGTGGGGAGCTGAATCCAGCTGGGACTTTCCCCCCAGCTTCAGGGATCGGTGGGGCAGGCAATGCCCTGGAACAACCCTGGGGGAGCCAGGGTTGATCCCAGTGAGTGCTGAGTCTCCCCTGCCAGACAGGGATGCTGCAGTGCGGGGTCCAGGCAGGATGTTGTGGTGATGGGTCTGTGCTAGGGGGTCTGAGGGAAGCTGTGATGGGACAGGGATGCTGTGGGGGCACTGAGGATGCTGCAGTGGCTTTGAGGATGCTGTGATTGGGACAGGGATTCTCAGGGAGGCTCAAAGGATGCTGTGGGGGCTTTGAGGATCCTGTGATGGGATGAGGATGCCAGTGGGAGGGGACTCTGAGGACATTGTGGGGGACCAGGGATGCTGCAGGAACAGAGATATTGCAGGACTGGGGATGCTGTGGGAGGGCTCTGAGGATGCTGTGAGATCGAGTTGCCAGGGGGTGCTCTGAGGATACTGTGATGGGACAGGAATGTTGCAGGGGGCTCTGAGGGTGCTGTGATGGGACAGGGATGTTGCAGGGGGGTCTGAGGGTGCTGTAATGGGATAGGGATGTTGCAGGGGGCTCTGAGGGTGCTGTGATGGGACAGGGATACTCAGAGGTGTTCTGAAGGTGCTGTGATAGGACAGGGATGCTGCAGGCTCTGAGGATGCTGCAAGACTGGGGACCAGCAGGACCAGCAGGACCCTTTGGCATTGCTCACTCCAGCAACCCTACAAGGAGAACACAGGACCTGGCTCAGGGTGTTCAGACCTTCCTGCTTTCAGCAGCTGCTCTGGTTTGGGCTGTGGGTCTGGGAGGGCTGTGGGGAGCTTGAGCTCATTCCAGAGGCACCAGGGGTGCGGGGGCAGCCGGGTGTGCTCTGTTTTGCTCCGCATTCCCTGATCGCTTCACTAAACAAGGTTCCTTCTCCTCAGGGATTAAATGCCATGTTTGCCTTAGATAAATTTTGCATCAGGCCCAGCTTGTGCATACAAGCCTGGGAAAAGATCATAAAGCTTTCAAAAAATATTATTAAGAAAAGCTGGTATGTAAAGGCAAACATTGCGGGCAGAGCAGATTTCCCAGTGCTTTCACTGGTGGAAGGGGTGAAGTGTGCTTGGTTGAGTGTTTTGGCACGCAAGGATGAAGCTGGGCGGTGAATGTGGTGCTAAAATCAGGTCCTGATGCCCAGCACTTTCCCAGCCCTGGGCAAACAGGGGTACTCAGCCCCCCCAGGAGCAAACCCAGCCTCCAGCTGAGGCAGTGGATTTCCCCTTGGAGCTTTTGTGGCCGGTTTTACTAAGAACAAAACTCCCCAGGAAGCAGAAGCTGCTTTTACCTTCCCCTAATTTTACTTTTTCCAAGCAATTGTAATATGTAAAAGGGTGAGACCCCCTGTGCCTTCTTCCTGTATTGCTCCCACCTGTGAAGATCCAGCTGTAGGTTTCATCTTCCCAAGCAGAAGGGAAGTTGGGCTGGAAATTTGGACGCAGGATGAGAGCCAGTTGGGATAGGGGGGTTGCTTCCCCTTTCTGGAGCCCCCACGTAATGATGGGGCACAATTATCCATGTTTTGTGAAGAAGTGGTTCAGAAGGAGGTGCTTTCCTAGGGGACCTCCTCACCTGCCCCATCCCTCTGCTGTCAAATGGACACAATTTTCTTTTTCTAATATCCCGTCCTTTTGCTTTTAGTGTGGTTTAATTGTCCTTAATTGTCTTTTAATTGCCCTTCCTGCCCTTTTTAATTAATTGCTCTCCTGTCCTTTTAACTTCAGAAGCCCGTGACAGGGAGGGGAAGAGCCTGGCTCTTGTGGGACCATCCTTGATCCCATTTCTCCTCATTCTTGATACATTTTTGTCCCCAAACCCAGTGTTCTTAGCTGGCTGCTGGGTGTTTGGCAGGTGTCAGGTTTGTTAGTGGCACTTCCCTGGGTAGGGAGGGGATGAGGTGGGTGCCCTCCCTTGGCAGGTGACTAATCCCTGGAGGATCTGATGGGCAGGCTCTGACTGAGAGACTGCATCGCTCAGCCCCACATGCACCTTTCCCCTTGGCTGGCATTCAGCACACCGAGACATGGCTGGTCAGAGGCAGGAGCAGCTCAGTTACCAGGGGCACAGCCAAGCCCAGCTCTGAGCCTGGCTTAGAGCAGGATTCACCCTGGGAGAAAAGCCTCCCCTGTACCCCAAAGCTTCTCCCTCCCGGTAAGTTCATTTTCCACCCTTGCCATGTCCTGGTGGGATGGGATGAGCCCATCCTGGGATGGCTCCAACCACAGCTCTTTGCTCCTTATTCCAGGAGCGAGAGGTTTCAGAGGAGCACAAAAGTGTCCCTGCTTCCCTGGGCAGTGTTTGTGTGGGCACTAAGCTCCAGCACCTCCTTTCCCCAGGCCGGGATGGGTAAATCCAAGGCGTTGGAGGTTCCCCAAGTACGTGATGCTCTTTGGTTTGATCCTGCTTGGCTGCTCCTGTCCTTTCTGACTGGCTTTGTGGTGGCACATTGGACTTCATACCTGCTGGTGCCAGGTGGATCCTTAAGCTGGGTTTTAAGTCTCCCCCATGGTATTTTGTGGTTGAAACCCCACTGGGGGCTTGCTTTTCCTCTCTAATTAATTTATTTTTTTCCTTTGGCCTCTAACCTGTAGGGCTGAAGCTCCTTGGGAAGTGCTGCTTGCTTGGCTTTGATAAGCTCTCTAAACCAACCTTTTTGCAGCAAAGAAATGTGAATTTAAATAAATAAATCCTTTGGGGAACCCTTACACCTGCTTGCCTGCAGATGCAGATGGGCAAGCAGGGGGTGATGCCTCTTGGATGGGGTTTTAGGGTCAGCTTTGATGGGTTTTCCCTGTTTTCCTGCTGCAGGTGACCAGCCACGATGAGAGCTCTGGCCCCCGCCTGATCCCTTTCCTGCTGATAAAAATGATCAACAAGTCTCGTGAGTCCTCCAGGGATCCCCTCTGTCCAAGCAGGGATGGGGAGCCTGGGGAATTTGCATTTGGAATTCTGGGGGTTGGATTCTACTTTGTTGTGGTTCCAGTAGAGTGATGGAGTGTTGGGGTATCACAGGAGAAGGTTGCAGTGGGGAGGGTGGGTTTGGGCACCGGAACCCCTTGGACTTTGTTGTATGGAAATGGGATGGAGGCACACAGGAAAAGGGATATTTGCCTAGTCTTTGATGAAAAGCAGGAAGGAGGAAACAGAAAGGTCAACAAACAATGGCTTTTAAACCTGATATAAACCCACCTGGCTCATCTTAGAGCCCCTCCTCTCTGGGCCGTGGTGCCAGCCAAACCTGCTCCCTGAGGAGAGCGTTCTGCCATCCTGGGTCTAGCTAGGGGTGCTGTGGGACCCCACAAGCAACCATCTAAACCCCATGGCTGACACTGGTTTATCTCTCCCCCTCCCCACTGGGCTTGCAGGAGGGAAGATACTCGGGGTGCTGGCGCTGTTTCTGGTGATGGTTTGGTACTCGATCTACCGGGAAGACAGGTACACGCAGCTGTGAGTGCTCCTTACTCAAGTTTAAAGGCCCTCCTGCCCTTTCCTTCACTCCTGGGAGGCAGTTCCTTCCTGCCCATCCCTCACAGGGATGCCAGAGCATGGCACATTCCCTGGATCCGAGGGGATTGGGGAGGTGGCAGCATCCTTGGCTGCTGCTGGAGAATGGGGGACACAAATGGGGCTCCCCGTTGGTGGGTGGTGGTGGTGGTTGGGCTCTGTGGGGTTTTTTGCAAATGCTGCTTTTCCCAGTGCTTTTCTGAGCCCGGGAGGATGGGAAAGCCCTGCTCTCTTCCCAGTGCCAGCGATGCTGACAGAGATGGGGAAAGTGGAGTGTGAGGTTCATGAGCAGAGCAAGAGAGACCTCTTCTGATGCAAGGCTGCAAGCCCAGCAGATAAATGCCCAGGCAGTGCTGGCCTTAAATCCAACTGGAAATCTCTCTCTCACAGCTTGAATCCCACAGTGGGGATGCCTGGGGGTGCTGGAGCCCCTTTTGCCAGGAGGGGGCTGCAGAGGAACAGGCATCATTTGATCTAATAAACCTCTTCCTTTACAGCTTTTATTTCCCTGTGCAAGAAAACAACAAGACAACGTGTCCCCTTGGGGAGGTGGAAAAGAAAGCGGCGCAGCTCATCGGGAAGTGAGTTTTGGGGCTGGGAGCAGGGAGTGGGGATGCCGAGCCAGGACCCCCCTCCCTGTGCCATCCCTGATCCCAGTGTCACTGACCCTTTGCTCCTTGGCAGCTACACGAGGGACCACCCACTGTTCTTGCAGCTGAAGGACTATTTTTGGGTGAAGACGCCGTCGCTCTACGAGCTGCCCTACGGCACCAAGGGAAGTGGTAAGCCTGACAATGCTCTGTGGGATCTGTCTGTCTGTCTGTCCTGCTGCTGCTCCTGGGGTTTCAACTACCCTTTCCTAAAGACATCTGCAGGTTGATTTTGCTGGAGACTAGTCCCAAGCTATTTTCTTGGTTTTTAGAGTCTGCAGTGAGTATCTCCTCACACATGGCGCCTCTAAAAGAGTTTAGGGTGGGCCAGGTTTTACTAAGACCCAGCAACAGATTATCTGCTTGAAATTGGGATTAACAGTTGGAGCAAATTTGGCAGGGATGGGGCAGCACTCAGAGTGTTGTGCCAGGCAGGAGCTGCCTTCCTCACCTTCCTCACCTTCCTCACCATCCTCACCTTCCTCACCCTATCCTTGCCCTTGCTTTGCAGAAGACGTCCTGCTGCGCCTGCTGTCCATCACCCACTACTCCCTGCCCGAGAACATCCAGAGGTAACACTGGGGTGGGTTTAGGGGCTTTTCTCTCTTTTTCTTCATCATTGCTGTCTTGGGGGTGGTTGCAGTTTGTCTGCTGTGGGCCCAGGATTTGGCAAAATGAACCTCTGCAACCCAGAGGTGGTGGATGGAGCATGGGAAGGTGTGGAGACTGGACAGCACCAGATTTAACTCCCCCAGGGGTTAAAATCAGCCCAGTTTTGGAGCAGGTCTGGTTGAGACAGGGTTTTCTCTCACAGCCTCAAGTGCAGGAGGTGTGCCGTGGTGGGCAACGGCCACCGGCTCCGCAACAGCTCCATGGGGGACACCATCAACACCTACGACGTGGTGATCAGGTACAGCCCTGGTCCCCCGCTCCCTCCCCAGTGCCACCGCAGCTGGGGCTGACACCTGTGATGTCCCTAAGGCTGAACAACGCCCCGGTCCATGGTTATGAGCAGGACGTGGGCTCCAAGACCACCATGCGCCTCTTCTACCCTGAGTCAGCCCACTTCGACCCCCGGACCGAGAACAACCCCGACACGCTGCTGGTGCTCGTGCCCTTCAAGCCCATGGACTTCCAGTGGATGGAGGCCATCCTTAACGACAAGAAGAGGGTGAGTGTGGTGGGGAACTGGGTCCAGCCCCTCCCTGGCTGCTCCAGACTCCAGCTGTCATGCCACCCCACCCCTGGGGACATCTGGGCTCTTGCAGGTTCGGAAAGGGTTTTGGAAACAGCCCCCACTGATCTGGGACGCCAACCCGGAGCAAGTTCGCGTCCTCAATCCCTACTACATGGAAGTAACTGCTGCTAAACTGCTCAACCTCCCCATGAAACAACCACGGAAGGTCAAACAGGTAAGGGGTGGGGGTGGCCAGTGACCCTGCACACCCTGAGGGGGGTCAGCCTGTCCCTGTGCAGCTCCCTGAAGGCTGTGGCTCTGTGTCCCCCAGAAGCCCACCACAGGGCTGCTGGCCATCACCTTGGCACTGCACTTCTGTGACCTGGTGCACATCGCGGGCTTTGGCTACCCCGATTCAGCCAACAAGAAGCAAACCATCCACTACTACGAACAGATCACACTCAAATCCATGGCCGTAAGTGTTTGCCCCACAGTTTTGTCCCTGTTCCCCCCATTTTTTCCCCAGGAGGGGGGATGGCAGCCCAGGAGAGCAGTGCCATGATGCTGAATGGCGTGGGAGGCTCTTCCCTCTCACTCCCCTCCCATGATGAAGGTTGAAGTCCACCTTTGGATGGTCATCATCCAACTTCTCTTGGTAGCCAAATGTCTTTGGAGGCATGGCGAGTTGGATCCATCCCCAGTTTATGTGTGAGGAGAAGAGCTCATGGACAGAGGGATTGGGTGGGGAGGGTTCCCTCCCTGCTTTTGGGGAGCTGAAGTCCCTGCTGGTGGGATGGGCAAGGTGGAGGGTGTGAGGACTGGAAGGAAAATGTGTGGCCCAGACTCTGGTGTCACCCCTGCTCCCTGTCCTGCAGGCGTCGGAGCACAACGTGTCACACGAGGCCGTGGCCATCAAGAGGATGCTGGAGCTGGGACTCGTCAGGAACCTCACCTACTTCTGAGGGCAATGGGGCTGTGCAGGGACAGCGTCCCCAGGGCAAGGGGACACCGTCCCCAGGGCGAGGGGACACCATCCCCTTCAGCGAGGGGACACTGCGCTGGCATGGCTGGAGTGACCGGGGGCAGAGCATTGTTGTCACCGCTGCCACCACAGCCTGGGACTCCTGGAGCAGGGCTGGGGCTGGGCCCGTGCTGGACCGCGGGTGCCCAGGGTGGGGCGGCTCTCGGGGTGCAGGGAGCCTGGCGGGGCCGTGGCCCAGCGCCTTTTCTACTGACGCACTGAAGCTACCGAGGACTTGAGGGGGTTTTTGGGGTCGGAGGGTCCTCCCTCCCAGCGGGCCTGAGGGGGTGAGCCAGGGCAGGAGCCCTTGCCCTGGACATTCTCTTTCCCTTAATTCCCTCATACACTGACGAGGGCCCTGCTGAGGGGCTGATTTTGGGGTCCTGGCCCCTCCCCACCCAGGGAATGGGAGCCTTTGGAGGCTGATGTTGCCTCCTCCCTGTCCTGGACCTCCCTCCAAATATTTAATTCCCTCCCTTTTTTTTTAATTTCCTTTTTTACTTGGCGGCCCTGTCCTGTGCCTTAGCGCTGGCGTAGGGACTCGTCCCCACAGCCCCCCTGGGTGGGGGCACCCTGGGCTGCTTGGCTTTGGGATCTGCCAGAGCCCTTTGGTGGTGCAGATTAATTTAATTAATTTAAATGCTTATTTATGGTGGAGCCTTCACCCAGGGCCTGCATGCCACTGGTGTCAGGGACAAGGGGCCTTGGGTGGGCTGGTGTGTGCTTGGCTCCAGGGGTGGGCATCTGGGATGTCCCCCACCATGGAGGGGTTGACCTGGTGCCTTCTCCCTGCTGGTGTAGGGTCCCCTCTGCCCCCGTGGGGCTGCAGGTGTTGGGGGGACCCATGGATGGGGGTGTTGGGGCTCATGTTGGCACCCAATAAAGTCCTTGTGAGGCTGGGATGGGCTGGGTGCTCCTGGGCCATGGTGGGGGGGTGTGTGAGGGAGTTTTGGGGCTGTGAGATGCAGGGAAGGTCGCCTGTCCCCATGTCATTGTGTCCCCTTACCTGTTTGTGATGCCCCAGCTCCTGGTTCCCACGCTGGGCTTGTGGGGTCCCAGCTGCCCCGTGCCTCAGTTTCCCTCCACCACCGGCCATTTCTGCCCCATGGGGCCTGCCCCAGGAGGCCATGGCACAGCCAGGCTGCAGGCCGGGTGTGTGCCGGGGCAGAGTGCCGGGGAAGCCGATGTCCCCGCGGGGTGGCCATCAGCCCAGGCGTGCCACGAGAAACACCTCTTGTATTGACCGCGGTGCCGCGATACAGCGGAGAGGCCCTTCCCGGGGAGTCCCTGTCCCACCGCCGTCCCCACCTCCCGTCCCCATGGCGGGACCCCCCCGACCCCCCGACACGGACTCTATAAGTATGGACACCGAACACCACGAAGGGAAGGGAGGAGCCGGGGGCAGGGGGCAGCGGGAAGCGGAGGCGAGCGGCTGTGGGGGCGCGGTGGGGCCGGGGCCGTCCCCAGCCCCGCCGAGGGAGCGGCTCCCCGGGGCTCAGCGCGTCCTCGGCGGGGTTGTGCTTAGCGTGTGCCAGGGAGGGGGATGCTCGGCCGGTCCCCTGCCCCAGCCCTGCTCCAGGGGCCTGGATCCGGCTGCTCCCAGCGCCGCTGCCGGCGGTGCCGCTGTCCGAGCAGAGCACGGCGCCCACGGGAGGGTCCCGAGCGTCCCCGAGGGGCTCAAACGTGCGTCTGCATCCGCCTCTGCAGGGGCCGGCTGGGGTCTGAGTTTTGGGAAGACGACTGGGAGTGGTGGGAGGAGGACGCGGAGGCCTTGCTGGCCTTGTCGAACTGCACGTAGCCGTCCTGCTTGCCGCTGCTGCTGATGCTGCTGTCGCACTGGGTGTCGAGGAAGGAGCTGCTGTCGCTCATGGAGCCACGCTGGAACTCGCGCTCGCACAGCTCGATGGAGCTGCTGCCCATGCCCAGCACGAAGCGCTGGCTGTAGTCGTAGAGGCGGCTCTGCCCGCTCAGGGTGCTGTAGATGTTGGTGAAGGACATGCCCGTGGGCACCCGCTGCTTGCCCGCCGGGCGCAGGTCAGCCGGGCAGCCCGACAGCGAGATGGTGGGGGTGGAGTGGTGCTCCTTGAAGGTGTTCACGCTGTAGTAGCCGTTGGTGGGGTCCTGGGGAGTGGGAGGAGCAGGGCAGGTTGGTGGTGGCCTCTCTGGGTACCTCCCTGGGCATTTGGGGTGCCCACCCTGCCCATCCACCCAGGACATGCGAGACTTATCAGAACCATGGAATATGCTGAGCTGGAAGAGACCCACAAGGACCATCCAGTCCAACTCCTGGCCCTGCACAGACACCCCCACAATCCCACCCACTCTCTGTGCCTCCTGGAGCTCAGGCAGCCTCGGGGCCGTGCCCATTCCCTGGGGAGCCTGGGCAGTGCCCAGCACTCTCTGGGCAAGAACCTTTACCTGATACCCAACCTAACCCTCCCCTGGTACAGCTCCAGTTGCTCTCTCAGGTCCTGGTGCTGGTCACAGAGAGCAGAGGTTAGAGCTGTCCCTCAGGAAGAAGCTGCAGACCCTGATGAGTCTCCCCTTGGTCTCCTCTAGGCTGAACAAGCCAAGTCACCTCAGCCACTCCTCATATGAACCCTCCAGACCCTTCCCCATTTTCATAGCCCCCCTCTGGAGGACACCTCAACCACCAAACCATGCAGCAATGTCCTCTTGTGCCACCAGTGAATTCCAATCTGCTCAGCCCTCTCCAGGTGGGGATACAAGTGCCCCTTGCATGCCACTGTCCTGACACCAGACCTTTGTGTTAGCTTTAAAAGCTGCTGGGGCCACAAAACATGCCAGAGCCTCTCTCCCTGCACAGGGACAGCCCCCTGGGACAGGCCACCACCGGGGACACGGCCCAAGGACAGACAGCCTGGCAGCAGCAGTGCTGGGTGAGGCTCTGCCCGGTGGTGGGCACGGGGAGGGTCCCCAGCTCCCCGGGTGCAGCCCCTCTGCCAGGAGTGACGGGGGGCTCTGACCCCATCTCTCGCTGGGGACAGAATCAGGCCCCAGCATCCAACCCACCTTCAGGTTTTGAAACTCCTTCTCCTCCTCCTTGAGCACCTCGAGCTGCTTCAGCACCGAGTCCTGCTGGAACTCCCCCCGGTCCATCTAGGAGAGGAGGCAGGGTCAGCATCCAGCACCGCCCGACCCCCGATCCCCATCGCCCCAAGGCCATGGGGGTGAGCCCCGCATCCATCACCAGCCCCGGGGCACTGGGAAGTTGCCACCAGCCGGGTTCAAGGACTTGCCCAGGGGTGCCCCAGTGGTGTCCGAGGGCGGATGCCCCAAAGCCACACAATTCCCTGGGTTACAGATTGTTTTTCCAATTGTTTTTCCCTGTTTAGGACAGAAAAAGGCAGGCTGATGCAGAAAACGAATTATTTACCGAGATGAGGGCTGGGGCTGCACCCGCCTGCCCAAAGCAACACCCCCAAAATCGCCTGGTTTTTGTTGTTTTCTTTTTTTTTTTCTTTTTTGTTCCCCTTCTTTTCATCCTTTCCTTCTCAGCTAAACTTGGCCGCCTTATTAGTTTTCCTTTGAAGGCTGGCTGTGACCGGGGGGAGGCGGAGAGGAGGGGCAAGGTGCACATTAATTACACCACAGCTTTAATTACCCTTCCTTCAGCACGCGGGGCTGTGCAGGAAGCAGGATAATTATCAACCAATTCCTCAGTTGCCTTTTTTTAGCTTCTCCCGTATTCGCCCGACGCCTCCAGCCCAGCTTCTCTGGGATCACAGCCCCACAGCAGCCCCAAAATCCCCTTTTATTGCCCAAATTCTCTCCTCTTTAAGATGGTAAGTGGCTGTGGAAATTCACCCCGCGGCACTTGCTGTTCATCTCCCGAAAGCCTTTGATGTGGCTGTTAAAGGCAATAAATTAAAGTACCTGAGTTTTCCTAGGGAAAAGAAAGCCTGTATCAGCCATTGATTTACCAGGATAAATACAAGTGTCGCCGAGGATTAAACGAGTGCAGCTAAAATGGGACGTGGAGGGTTTTTTTTGCTCTGCCAACCCCGGCGACCCCCTCGATTCTCTAAAGCATCTCTGCAAAGGCAGACTGGGGCTGTTAACCCTATCGGAAGGGTTTAACGGGTCCCAGCTCGGAATGAAAAGCAAAAAACACTTCTTGGATTTGGTTTGGTGGGTTCAGATCCAGAGATGGAGAGGGCAGAAGGGAGGTGGGAACCAAAGGAACAATGCCACTGTGACCAAACCTCCCTGGAATTAATGATGTCGGGTTTGATGGGGTGTTTGAAGCCATTTTATTTGAGCCATTTATTTTATTTAAGCCATTGAAGTGATGGTGGGAATGATCCAGGTACTGGGATGCTCCCTGCGCTCCGTGGGGACCCTGCTTGTCCCCTGTCCTCTCTGAATTCGGCTGCACCCCGTGGATTTGGGGACCGCAGGGAGTCTCCACATGAGGTCCACAAAGCGCCACCACATCACCGAACCTTCAACTCCCCCATTACAGCCGGTCATTAACGTCAACTTTAATAAAGTTTTACACCGTTAATTAGTGGGCGGTGGGATCCTCGTTAGTGTGATTTCCTCTTTGTCATCACTGAGTCAACACCGGGAAAGGACCGACCTTAACTCAAGTTCACTCCATCACCAATATTAACGGGGATTATGAAGGGGGAGAGGAAAATAGATGGAAAAAGATGTCTGAGAGTCCTGGCATGGGATGCCCCAGCGGAATTCCCGGACTTTTTTCCAGAGCCGTCCTTTCTCCAGCCAGGTGACAGCACCAATATGCTCAAGTTCATTCCATCACCAATATTAACGCGGATTATGGAGGGGGAGAGGGAACTAGATGGAAAAAGAGACCAGAGATGTCTGAGAGCTCTTGCATGGGATAGCCCAGTGTCATTCCTGGACGTTTTTCCAGAGCCATCCTTTCTCCAGCCAGGTGACAGCACCAAAATGCTCCGGGCCTGATGGCTGGGGGTACACCCGGCTGTGAGTGCCACCATTCCCCCTGCCAGGACCTCATCCTGCCTGGCACTGCCAGGGGCCAGCAGCTCTCCCCTGCCCAGAACAGCGGGCACTGCAAAGCCCTGCCCGTGTCCGAACCCTGCTCCTGGGTCAGCAGGGATGTGACAAACTGCACCCCTGAGCGTCACTGCCTCAGTTTCCCCCGCTGCAGAAGGCAGGGACCCCCTCCAGGTCCTGAGGCATCCCCTCTGTACCCCAAAGTACAGAGATAAACAGATTCAGGGAAGATTTCAAACCGCAATTTTCAAGCCTGAAGATCTCCTTTTGGCAGTGCTCATGGAGGGAAGCATAAAGAGAGGCTCAGAGCAGGACAGTCTGACAGAATGTAGCATGTTTTAGCAAATACACACCCAGCAAGGCAAAATGTAGCTGACAATAACTGCACTTGGGGGAAAAACTGAGCCCTTGCATGAACAGATGAAATAATTGTGAGTGCAGTTTCCCTGGATCAGTGCTCACAGCAACAGAGAGCTCCAGG